CCAGCGCGCCCAGCCCTGGCACTGCGCAGCCCCTGGCTTGCAGGTGCTGACTCCAAAAAGACACTTACAGCTGCTAAGGGGGTAGGAACTAAGCTTTATTGCACATCAAACTGCACCTGCTTTTGCTCATGGTGGAGGGAGTAGTTCAGTACTGAACGGAGAAGCTTTTGTGCATCAAGCAAAATACTCAGGACACTGGACAGTCTGAAAGCTTTAATGAGTGCTTTAAAATGCAAGTGTTTCATAGAGAAGTTTCTTGGCATCAGCTAGAGGGAAACAAGTGTTTGGCCTTTTGAGGAACTGAGAATCCATAATTTTCTCATGGTTGTAGGTTTAAAATATTATCTCAATGAAAAGATGCATTTTTAATCCCTTGTGTCATTCACTCCAGTCTCTCAAGCAGGAACCTCCCCGGCAGATAGTATCCATGCCACTCAGTGCCCTACTAAGAGGGGCTTGGATGCTTCAGCGACAGCAGCAGCTTGAGAACAGCATCCGGGGGAACCAGCCTCACTCCAGGGAATGGTAATGCTCTTTTCTACTTAGGGCACAGCATCTACCTTCGCACCAGCATTGTCAAAGAGGCTGGTTTGAAGCAATCTGAACAACTGCATAAGTTACCAGTCATAACAGTCTACTTGGGCTACATCCAAACCCAAGTGAGCTTCACACAATTAATAAATAAATCCAGGAGGACCGCTATCTTTAATACCGTGCTTCTCCTAAAAATCATAGTCTTGGGTATCCTTTTCCTTTCCATGGAAAGGCTGCTCCACCAGACCAGCTTAAATCACACCCAAGCCTCACGTGCACTTCTACATACAGCCCTTCACCATAAGCAGCTGCACTTCCCTCCCATGATTATCAAATAACTGCTGTCAAACAGAACAGGATCCTTAGCCCTGGCCAGATTTCAGTTCTCTTGCATCACAAATACCTGTACCAAGGAAAGAGGCAGAACCAGGAGCCACCTTTCCTCCCCACCAGAGCATAAAGAGTAAAGAAACAAGTCAAAAACTCAAGGCAATGACACCCCCAAGCTTTAGCATCTCCAAACAGCATCCTCCCTTTTCAGATCTCTATTTATACACAAAACAACTACATACATGTTCACCCAACAGACAAATACACTGATAAGGAAACATAAAAGTTTGAGACGGGAACTATTAAACCACTCAGTAAAGCCAGGATGTGAAATGAAGTGACAGGCCTCTCAGAAACCAAATAATTTCCCTGCTGTTACCTGAATCTCTTATCCAGATCTGCAGTAATGAAATTGTGTGAATACTTCAGGATTTTGAGCACTTATTTTTCCAGTACATTAGTATCCATATGCCTTTACCCTGTCCTACTGTCATTCAGCATTAAGACTTAGTAACAGCATAGTCCATGCAGTCCAGCTTGACCGCTGTTCCTCTAAAAAGTCACAAATCACAGTGTATTTTTTCCCATTATATCTTCCTGCTTGAGTCAGAGAGATCACAGGACAGCAAGCAACAGCTTTTCAAACACACTGTGTGAACGTCAACAGCTTCAGTCCGTCCCTTGAGAATAGCAGAAAATCCTGATCGGAAACTAGTGCACAAATCTCAGTCACAAGAGCAAAGAGCACATGCTCCGTTAGGACAGAAAACCTGTTTGAATCGAGGTGAAGACCTTCATCTCTAGCTGAGCACTTTTGCCCCGCTATCCCGCTTGAGCAGTTAGGTGGGAGAAGTGCAAATCTCTGGAAAACCACCTGCATCTGATTAAGTTTTAAAAGCTCAAAAGCTTAAAATATTAATTCCCAAATACACATATATGAAAATAGTTCACGAAAAAATAGAGGAATATCTTAACAGTTCATAAAACTAGCCACCAGCTTCTGTTGTCAGAGTTTTTAAATTAGGATTCATTAATGATATGCATTGGTTTTACTGTTCTCCTCCTCTTCCTCAAACAAAATTTTAGAATTTAATTTTCAATTCAGTTACTGCATCTCTGTCTTCCGCTTCAAATACCCTTCATATAAGCAATTCCATGTATTAGTTTACCTAAACCACCACCTCTCTTCCACAAAGACTCCTTTCACTTCCTTTGTAAGGGCTGTAAGCAAGGCTGAAGGCTTTGACAATGTCAGCGAATCAACATTTGTACTTACTGCAAGCCCTTATCTAAGGCAGCATTCCCACCTTTTCCTTTTTAAGGAGCCTGTCATACTTTGTCTTTCTTCTTAAAGCTTTTGCGTTCTGAACCTCCACATTCCCCACATCGCCATCGTACTATTTCATTCCTTTCTCTGCAAAGGGCCTCACTGGCATTTGCCGTGTCCCTCCCGGGACGATGGCACTGCGCTGCCGGCACCAGGACCACGCGCGACAGCTTCGTCTAACTGAACCACGAGGACTTGTGAATTGGACTCTTCTTGTGTTTTCACCTCTCCCCTCCAAAAGCCTTCCTTTTTTCAGGCATTAAGCAATCTCAATCACCTCACATTCAAATCAACATTTCAGTAACAAATTTCACAATTTTTCAGAATTTGTTAGGCATCTCTGTACTTCCATATCCATTCATACAGACAAAAAAGGCAGCTCTTAAACTTCCAATAATTCATATACTCACTATGACAGGATATTGTCCTTAACATTTGTTGCAATACTCCATAAAATATTCCAGAAAATCTGAAATTCAGCAGTTTCTTATTTTTTCCCAACAAACCTCAAAGGCCAATATTGATGTCTTATTACAAACTTCTGGTTTACAGAAGACAGCACACATAACCAACAAAGTACAAACAGCAGCTAACACAAACTGCTCTCCACAAACGCATCAGAACATAATAAATTTATAAGGGCTTTATTATACAATGATCTTTAACTTGCGATAGCAATTGGACAAACTAAACTCCAACGTACTTGCCATTGGCAGATTAAGGTAGAAGATGCTGTGGAAGTCACTATGTTGTTCAAGCAGCAGAAATTCAGACTTCTAACAAGCAAAACTGAACTCCAAATATGAGAATAAATTCAATTCTATTTAGAATACATAAAACTGAAGCACTGGAAGCATCACAGTGTAACAGACTCAGGAAAAAAAAAAAAAAAAAAAAAAAAAGACAACGTAAGCAAATGGCGATGGACAAACGCTGCTGTCCGACTTCATCTGTAAAGCTACGGCATACGTGGAGTCGTCACACCTTCCACCATTTATATTGACATTAGCTGTACAAATCTGATCCGAAGTGCTCAACCCGGATCTCACTGCTGAGACGCATCCCCTGCGACGTTTCATCTTGAGCTGAATTCTGCCCATTCCTTTCTCAAGGGGAGTTTCCGACACTCACCTTCAGACTCATCAGCATCTCTCTTTTTTTCCCTCTCCTTTTAATTAGGATTGCACATAATATAAATCTACATTTTGAGGAAGAATACCACTGATGTATTCCTTATAAACTATAGAGCAAAACAGCACCCACACAAATCTCTAGTCACATCCTGTTCACACACCTTTCGTGCTTTTCTAGAGAAAAGTCTTTCACTCCCCAATGAGAAACCATTCACAGTTATTCAAATAAAACACAGAATATCTCTATACTCTAATAATCATGCCTTAAAAAAAGCTCAGACTACCAAACTGTGGTCCAGTTTAGAATGTCAAGATAAGTATTTTTATTAAACATACCATCTCTTCACTGGAAAGACGACACTGAATTCCAATAGCTTTTTTTTTTTTTTTTTTTTAAACACACAAAACAGATAATTCTCATGTCATAGTTCCAAGAAATTCAAATACTGTATTGAAGTACACCAGTAAAGAATTTGAAAGATATCATCAAATATCAAACCAAGACCCAGAAAGTACTGAACACAGGAAAATTACACAGGAGAAGTATATAAATCAAAGGTATTACCCAATGCTTTCTAATACTTTATTTCAAAACTTTCATTTCAAAACTTTTCACATATTTCAAATAGAAACAAAACATAAAAAGCACACACCCACGCAGCCTACTTCATTATATACAGAAGGAAACCCATTCTCCAGCGTAAACAAAGATCAGCTTCACAGGCAAGTCTAATAATAGCAACTTCTTTCTTCTCCCTAGTACTCCTCTAGCGGTTCTGCTTAGCAAAGTGAGTTTGGAAACAGCTTGTACTCCAGTGCTCTGTCACCCCCACAGCAAAGACATTTTCCCTCGTGTTCAGGCAGAACTCCCCGTGTTTCAGTCCCAGTCCTGCCCCTGGCACTGCTGAGAAGGGCCTGGTCCCATCCTCCTCAGAACACCCTCTCTTCAGATATTTCGGCGCATTCCCCCCGCCAAGTCTCCTCTCCGCCAGGCTGAGCAGTCCCAGCTTCCTCAGCTTTTCCTCATGGGATTGATGCCCTTCGCCATCTCAGTGACCCTTCACTAGACCTGCTCCAGTATCTCCACGCGTCTCACACTGGAGCCCAGGACCGATGCGGCGCTCCACATGTGGCCTCACCAGGGCTGAGCCGAGAGGCGGGACCAGCTCCCTGGACCTGCAGGCCGTGCTCTTCCTAACGCAGCCCAGGATCCCACGGCCTTCCTGGCCTCAAGGAGGGCACATTCCTGGCTCATGGTCAACTCGTCCACTAGGACCCGAGCTCCTTCCCTGCAGAGCTGCTCTCCAGCAGGTCAGTCCCCAGCCTGTCCTGGTGCCGGGGGTTCTTCCTCCCCAGGTGCAGGGCCCTGCACTTCCCTTGTTGAGCTGCATGAGGTTCCTCTCTGCCCAGCTCTCCAGCCTCACCAGGTCCCTCTGAATGGCATCGCAGCCCCTGG